AACGATTTCTTTATTAGAATTTTATGTTTTATAGGTGATGTCAGCTGAACCACAGTCATTTAAATACGATTGTGAATGTGGATTATTTGAAGAACATGCTACGTTAATTAAAACAGTTGGTATTCCTTATTTAGTTGTTCTTATTAATAAAATGGATGATCCAACTGTTAATTGGAATCAAACAATATATGAAGACATTAAAGATAAAGTTTCATCTGTTTTTAAAAACTGTGGATTTAAACCTGGTGAAGATACAGTATTTATACCTTGTAGTGGAATGAGTGGAGCTTTTATTAAAGAACATCCTGAAGAACAACTTGTACCTTGGTATAAGTAAGTTATTAGAGAAATAATAATCGAAAGACAATGTTCTTTTTTTTATTATTATTTACAGAGGACCAACATTTATCGAATATTTGGATAGTTTACCATCATTTAATCGAATAAGTATTGATGGTCCTCTTCGAATACCAATTGTTTATTGTTATAAAGTATAAATTATTTAAAAGTATAGAATTAATCAAGATATTTAATTTATATAGGAAATAAATGTAATTGACACAGGTGTAATTGTATTTGTAACTAATGTATTTGTAATGGGAAAAATCGAATCTGGATGTTGTCGAGTAGGTGATAAATGTATAATAATGCCAAATCGAACTCAAGTTGAAATAACAAATATTTATTATAAAGGTATTGAAAGAGATTCATGTGTTTGTGGAGAAAATGTTCGATTAAAATTGAAGAATGTTGAAGAAGAAGTTAGTATGATTGAGATGTTATTTATTAATTATTAATAAGTTTTTTGAATTAACAGGAAATTTCACCTGGATTCATGATTTGTGATGTTGAACAAGAACCATGTAGTGTTGGAAGAGTATTTGATGCACAAGTAAATTTAATAAATAAACTATGAAACTATATTTATCGTCTGTTACAATATATAGATAATGTTAACTAATTATTATTCTATAATCTGTTCTGGTTTTTGTGCTCTTATTGATATTAATGGAGTTATTTTTGACGTTCAATTGAAAAAACTAATTTTAATACGTGATCAATATACAAATAAAATAATTCAAGAACGTCCACGTTTTATTAAACAAGGTCAAGTTGCAATTGCAAGATTTGAATTAACTCAATCAGATCAAACAATATGTATGGAACCATTTAAACGTTTTCCTCAACTTGCTCACTTCATGTTACGTGATTGTGGTCGAGTCGTTGTCTTTGGCAAAGTTCTTAAAATAATCGAGTAAAAACTTTTCTTTGTTTGTTGTTATTTCATATTGATTCTCTCTTTAAAATAAAAACCTATGAATAAGACTATTGTTAGTTTTTTAACTTTGAGAAGAACATAAATAAAAAAAAATTCGTTTATTAATTCCAAGAATAAAATTTCCTTTTGCATTTCGATTTAAATCAACAAGCATTAATTTAATTAATGAGTTTAATAGAGTAAAAAGAAAAGATTTAACAAAAATATATTAAACGAATAATAAATAAACAAGTTTTTTTCAATTAAAACATTTATATTGAACCTCATGTTATATAAAAACTATCACCGACCCTATCTTATACGATGTGTCACATGAATAACGAGTACACAAAAATATTTCAATCATTAATCATACAAGTGCATTTCTTCCTTATTCTTCTGATATATGTTATAGAATTTTTTAGAGTTTCTGCAAATAGAGCTCACCGGATTCTAACAACAATGCTGTAGTGATGGATAGATGAATTTAGTTCGTCTGATTAAAATAACAATCTCGAAATGAAACCAAACTATTCATAAACATCGATAAAATACGACTTACAATTATCTGTGGTTCTTCTCGCGTTAGGTATGATTCGTTGAAGTTTTTATAGAGATGTTTAGGAAAGCAGTTATTCTATAGAGAATTTCAATAAATAATTTATTTAAACATAGATTAATTTGAATATTTCATATTTCAATAGAAACTTTTTTTTCTTCAGATAGAGTTCTCAAGATCTATGGGTTCTTTATTGAATTTCATTATTTAATGGCAAATAAAAAATATTCTCAGTTCATAAGATAATATCATCCAATTCTTAATGTATTATTCTTTCTCTAAATAATGATTTGTTCTCATAAAATAAATACTTGTACTTTAATCTATTTGTATATGTCTAGACTGATATTTCTCCATATCTTATCTGTAGATATTGACAACAACATTCCTACAATTAATTCTTCTATGCAGTATTTTATCTAGGATTTTTGTTATGTTAATTCTCACCTTGAGAGCATGGATTCAAGATGAAACTTATCGAGGGTGATATTCGAGCTAAATGATGAGGTTTTATGAAAACAAAAATTTGTGATCGGAGTTTGTGAAAAAAAATATTTTCTTTGCTTGCTCATCCTGGAAATTTTTTTTTGCTGTTTTTAGTATTCCGTTTTTTAGAATGCCATAGTAATCTACATGGAATTTCACCGGCAGATTCAACATTTAAGAAATCACAGTGTTTCTATAACATCTTAACATTTGAACATTTGTTGGAAGGAAATAATTATAAATAGATAATTTGAGAAAAAATATTTTATGTAAATAGAAATTTTGAAAAAAATTATGCATGAATAAATGAAAAAAATTGCAGAATCAGTTAAATATGTATTTGTTCTTATATTAAAAACGAAAAGAAAAAAAGTAGAATTTTTGAGCAATTTTCATTTTGGTAAATACGATTATCATCAGTAAAAGTAAAAAATGTTACATATCTAATTATTTATTTAATTTTTTTAGTGTACATTAGTATTAGTATTATTATTGAATTAATATTATATTTATCTTACAATCACTTATTTCCTAACACTTTGTACGGGTGATGATCGTATTTATTTTACTGGTCAAATATTCTGCGTTTTTTTATTTTATTTCTAATATAGCAAAGAAAAATAATAATAAACACATATTTAATTAATTTTTTTCAGGAAATAATTACATCAAACGATTTTCTTCGTAAATTGAGTTATCAGGAAAGATAATTTTCTGCTAGACTAAATAGATTCTATTAGAATGGCTAAAAGAAAACTATATTGTCATCATCATTAGAAAATTATGCACACTTTATAGTTAAGTAAGATAATATAACATAAAATATTTTTTTTTCACCGTTTGATATAAAAAGCATGTTTCTTTCAAAGTATAGATCAGTTGCTCTAATTTCAATTTTAATGTGTCATGATGACATTTGCCAAATAACTTATCTGGTTTCTTGTCGTGATGTTATTGATTTCTATCCAGCCAAGTATACAAGATAAATCCATATTTACTATCAGCGCTCCGACTTGGCAATTTGTTCCCGTTGACAGTTTCCTTTCTCCAATCTTCACGTTTACGACTACTAACTTATTTTATTGTAATGTCCAATATCATCAACGTATATACTACTACATATACCAGGTGAGTTATAAGGAGTGCAACATCCACTATCTTACGAATATCTCAATATAGATAAATCGTATAACTTTGATCGTTTTTGTAAAAAGATGCGCCGTGAAAAGCTCTACAGAAATTGTACGAACAAATTCTTATTAACTTATTCTGATGGTGTCTTCTATACTCAAAATGAACAGATGAAATGATGGTGTCATGTCCCACTGTATTGAGCATAATAAAAATATTTGGAAGACACTTTTTGTTTTTCAATAGAAAGTTGTTCATATAAATTTTGTAGAAATTTCGACGGCGCATCTTCTGAAAAAAAAAGCAAGGCATTATCATTTCTCCAAGCCGAGATATTTGCAACATAAAATAGATGAGTCATAATGTTTGTGGTATCTAGTATTCTACAAATAACTCAACACAGATAAATCGTATAATCTTGATCTTTTTGTTAAAAGATGCGCCTTGAAAAGCTCTACAAAAATTGTAGGAACAAATTCCTATGGACTTTTTCCGGATGGTATTTTCTATACTCAAAATGAAAAGGTCGCATGGTGATGCTACTTGTTCCACGGTATTCAGCATGATAATAAATCTTTGGAAGATTTATTTTATTTTGCAAATATCTTGCCTTAGAGAAATGATAACGGCTTGGTTCTTTTTTCAGAACATGTGTTGTCGAAAGCTATAGAAAAGTTATATGAACAACTTTCGTATTGAAAAACAAAAAGGGTCTTCCAAATATTTAGTACAGTGGGACATAACACCATCATGTAACCCGCTCATTTAGAGTATAGAGGACACCATCAGAACAAGTCAATAAGAATTTGTTCTTCCAATTTTTGTAGACCTTTTCATGGCGCATCTTTTTAGAAAAACGATCAAAGTTATACGATTTATCTATGTTTGGATATTCTCAAAATACTGGATGTTGGAATTATTATGACTCATCCGATATTTAAATTAAATCAGACAAACATTAGTGCATTACTTGTAGACTGTGGATTTCGTTGAATAATACAGAAATTCTAGTCACACTCATGAGGAAATTTACAAGCGAGGCATAGTTTTTTTATTATTCAATATCCTCTATAAAATGTGTCTTATTTCGATCAAGTTAAATTCAGTTCAATTCTGATCACTCAGTTATTTATACAAATCTCGTTTTTTTTTTTATTTTCAAAACTAATTGTTTCACCTTATATCTATAAGATCAGTTCAAAATGCATAAGAATTGGACAAATCTTTGAAAACATACTTTTACCAGTAATTTATAATCTCTAACAGATATTATTTATTGTTATCGAAATGTAAAACAAATAATTATTGTGAAAGTCTTTTATAATTTATTCTATTAATCTAATAACAAGAAAAACAAGAAAAACAAGATTACAAGAGAGGAAAATAATTATAGAAATGTTTTGTATGTACTAATACTCTTTCAAAAAGTAATTCTTTCACTTGAGCACAATTGCGTAGTGTCGATTGTCTTGTAAAGTTGGCTGTTACCCTTTGTAATCCATCATAATTGACTGCTAATTTGGTTAGACGTGGTAGATGTGTTTTTTTATGATCGAGAAACTGATCGATATAATTAATATAACTCGATTGTAGATCAAGTGAAATTAGATTTGAATATTCAACAATTGAATACAATGGATTATTGTCAATATTCCAATAGTTGTTCATCATTAATTGTGATTCAAAATTAATAACACATAATATTTTAAGGAAAGGAAAAAAGTGTGCGATTCGAAGAAAAAATTCATGTTCGAATGGCATTATACTATGTACCATCAAGTCTGTAACATGACTAAAATCTAATGAAAAAATAATCAGTTATTATTTACTGTATAGAAGATTTCTATTTAAATATCTTACTTGTTAAATATTCTGAAATAATATAATTGTTAACATTATAAAGTTTAAATTCAGTTAGATTAGGATAATCAGCAACACGAATAATACGTTTCATAGATCTTGATTCAAGACTAAGTGATTTAATATCGGAATTTATTTTTGGTAATATATTAATACAAAAC